GGGCGCGGGCGGCGTCCGCTGCGTGAGCTCCCCGGGCCGGCCGGCGGACGCGGTTCTCGTTCGGGGACACCGCTCGGGGCGCAGCAGCCCGCACGCACTGGCCATGGCCTCCAACTTTAACGACATAGTCAAGCAGGGCTACGTGAAGCTCCGCAGCAGGAAGCTGGGGGTGAGTGGCACCCGCGTGTCTCCTTCACTGGGCGCCTTGGCGCGGCGGGCGGCGGGGATGGGTGGCACGCGCGGGGCCAGGGCCAGAGGGAGCGGCCGCCCCCTTGTTGCTCGGCCGGGGATGAAGGCGCCGCATCTGCCTGGGGGCTCCACGGCCAGGGATGGGGACGCCGCACCTGCTTGGGGGCTTCGGGGCCAGGAACGGAGGCGCCGCGCTTGCCTCGGGGTTCCGGGGCCGGGCGGGGGACGCCGCACCTGCGTTGGGGCTCTGGAGCCGGGTGGGGTCGCCGCGTGCGCCGCCTGCTCTGGACCCGGACCGGAAAGTCCAGTGGACGAAGGGAACTGTCAGTGCCAGAGATGAATGTGTCTGGGGGATTTACAGACAAGCCATCTACGTACGGGAAAGTGGGCGCCTGCCGGTGGAGACTCGGCGGCGGGAGCGTGCAGCCGCTCACGGGGATGTCTTTAGAATCACCATTTTCTGCTTCCCGTTTCCCCAGCCCATTTGGAAATTCCCGTTTGCTGCCCTCCCCGCGCCGCGCGTCCTCGCCGGCAGTGTCGAGCAGGTTCCCTGCTTCCAGAGCCTTGCTGGCTAGCCGGCTTCTCGCCTTGAGTATGCCCCCAGACGTGCGTGCGTGCGCCCGTGTGCACGCAGGTATGTACAGGCAGGTGTGCACGCCGACGTGGAGAATGCGCCGCGGCAAAGTTTATGGGGCTCTTCACCTAGTTTCTTCTTGAGAGCTGCTCGGCCTGACTTGGGAGAGAGGAAGTGTAGACCCGGGGGTTCCACACTTGCTTAGTGATCAGACCAGTAGGTAAGAGGGGCCCGCTGAGGGTCCCCGAGGACCTGGGTGCGGGCCGGAAGGGGGAACGGGAGCCCCCGGAGCACGCGAGCTAAGGTGGGCAGCAGAAACCCACCGGGCAGTCGGGTCTATAAGCGGGAAGAGAAATGCGATCCGGGGAGAAAGTGCCCGTTTTCGAGATTCCCAGGCTGTCACTACATGTCACTGTTCTAATAGTTCCCAGTTATGTGAAGCTCCGGAATCCTGGGGCAAAGTAGCCCCTTGCATCCGCTGCTGAAAGGATGGACACCCTCACTTGGAGAGGGGAGGGAAGGGAGGAGGAATATCGTAATTTTTTCATGAAGTAAAAACAGCTGTATCGTTAAAGAACTGAAAAGGTGCGGCAGGGTCCTCCAAAAGTAGGAAGGTCCCCATGCCCCTAGAAGTTGCTTTGTCGGTGTTGTGATTCCTGGAGGCAGGTGTAGCGGGGGAGGAAGAAAGGAAACCGGCCGACTTGGCTTTTGGAGCTGCTTCAGCTCCCTTTCGCATTGACGGTGCAGGCTGAGCCCCAAAGACTCAAGGGACCCATTCTTGAACTTTGACAATCTTTAGGATCCTGGGAGTCTTTAAGAGCCGGGAGGACGAAGCTGGGTGACAACACAGCCACCAGCCTGGAGCCCCTGTGCGCCCCTGTGCGTCTCCTCAGGACAAGAGGGTGCAGGCGCTGGGCTCAGACCCTGAGCCACGCTTCAGAGGCTTTGCTTGGGGAGAAGAAAGCGCCTCGTTCTTTTCCAGGGAGAGAAGGAACAACCACGTGCAAAACTGCGTTTGTCTAGACGCTGATTACTTCCCTGGGCCCCTGGGATGAAGTGCACAAATTTGTCACCTGAACAGCTGTCAGCCAAGGAAGTGGGTGCCTGCGGCACCAGAACCCCAGGCTAGAATCATCTTCACGACTGACCTTTGACGCCCTTTGCTCTGGTCAGTGTGCTTGCTCATCTTTCTTGCCCTCTGGCTTCTTGAAATCCCAGTTGCGTCTGACACCTCAGACGATCATAAGCTAATGTATGATTTGAGCCCCCGGGGAGATGTGTGTGTGCTTCCAGACACAGTATACCTGAAAATGACACCAAGACATACAACCATGAGAACTGCCCTCCTGCGTGCTTGGCTGTGGGAGCTCATTGGATTACTCCCCCATCCGAGCTTTCTAGGATTTCATAAAATAAAAACTGAATGTGGAAACTGATTACAAGACAGGAACCAATGAAAGAGCATTGAGTGCCTCCTGGGTAACTGTGGCATTGACTGCCTTTGAAATGTCATTTTAGAACACCATTTCTGCCTACTGTATGTGCAAATGTATGTTTACACTTTCAATGAGTCTTTTTCTGTTTTCATTGTTTAGAGCTATACCTTTTTAAAGGACAGCTTTCATATAAATGACAGAAGCATGTTTATATGCAGATTGACTGCTTTTATCTTCCATTTCTACTTGAAAATGTAAAATTCCAAGTGTGTTCCTTGAAACAGGTTTACTTTGCTTTAATTGTAAATCAAAATATTAAATTCACCTTGACTGTTTTGGAGAATATAATTCATTCAAAATACATTAGAGACTTTTCTGTTTAGAATATTCTAATACTCAGAATGGTGAATTCACATGGCAAAACTTCACACTAATTGTTCTGTAAAGCTTAAGAAGTTAAGTGGATCCCTTAAGATAGTAAAGGTATAAGCAAACACTACTTTTTGTAACCATGTATGCCTTTAAAAAAAAAGGTATGCTCCAAACTCATAGAAGATTTATGTAAACAGAAATATTTTATTTTTATACTTGATGCATGTCCTTAAACTTGTGGACTCAAAACTATGAACTTTTCCAAATAAAATGTTACTTTTGATTCCAAGGACATGTAAGGATTCTTTAGGGTTTATGTCCAAAACTAAAAATAATTCTAAATATGCATAGCTATTTGATTTATTATGGACAGAACTTATGCTTGCAAGAATTGAGTTTTGCAGTGTGCTAAGGTGAAAAGAGGCCTGGGTATCAGGCTGATTGCATCAGGGATAATTATGAAATGAAAACATAATTTATGCTGAAATATTCTAATGTACCTTTTCTGCTTCACAAATCAGTGCTTAGTATAGTGCTGTACCAGGGCATTACAGCATTTATTGCCCTCCAGGCACTGGGGCAACCCCTTGCAGGGATGCTTCCGAGTTAAACGATTTGAAAGGGCTTTTGCCACATGTTTTATGAGAGGATCTAGTACAGCTTGTTGAGTGTAGTCCATACGTCAACCGTTTAGGAAAGTTAAAGAAGTCATTCTGATTCAAGGTGACCCTATAGGACAGTATAGAACTGCCCCTTAGGGTTTCCGAGGCTGTAATCTTTACGGAAGCTGACTGCCACCTTTCTCTGGCAGAGCGGCTGGTGGTTCAGACCACCAACCTTTTGGTTACCAGCCTAGCACTTAACCATTGAGACACCAAGGCTCCTTAAAGAACCGTTTAGTAAGTGTTAAAGAAATTTTGAATGTCATCTTTGAAATTTGTCTTGACTCAGTGATCAGCTTTTCTTCCATTTAGGAAAATAATTTTGAGGAACAAATGGAATCGTTTTCATGAATTTTACACCTGTTCTTTAAAAATATGCTTACTAAATCATTAAAAGTATAATGACAACTCTTACAAAGACTTGTTTCTTTAAATGCTGTGTTATTTTTTTCACTATATCACTATTTCTGTGAACATATTGTTTTCCTTTTGCAAAATTTAAAATAGACTGGTTCTACTTACAGTAGTCCAGTTCCTCTCGTCATCTTATCTGTTGTATGACAGGTATTATAATTCACAAGGTACCATGGATGCTAGTTTTTTAAAGAAAGGGAGACTTAGAAACACTTAAAAATAAAGCAAAACAAAAGCATATTGATCACCATTGTTTATCTCTTAGCCTGCTTTCCTATTTTCTTCTGGCTTCTTATTGGTTAAATCTAGTCATCAGGGCATGTATTGCAAATAGCCAGCTTGTCCTGGTTCAGTCAAACTAAGGATTCAGTCACTGAAACCATTAATGGCCTAATACATTGCTTATTGACTCTATAAATGTAGCAAAAGTGAAGGCAAAGATGACATCATCATCATTATCATCACAGTCACAATCATCAGTATCATTGTATGAACTCCAGACTGACTTTAAGTGCTCAGCTGCTGAACGAAAGGTTGGCAATTCGAACCCACACCGTGGCTCAGCAGGAAAAAGACCTGGTGAACTGCTCCTGTACAGATTACAGCCTAGAAAACCCTATGGGGCAGTTCTACTCTGTCACATGGGGTCGCTATGAGTTGAAAATCAACACAACAGCACCCAACAACAACAACGATTTGAATAAATACTAGACACAGCCGTCACGTCATTGTTTCAGGAAGTCAATTAAAATACATTAATATGAATATTCAAGAGCACAGAAAAGTATTTTACACAGGTTTTCTTAATATTACTCAGATTCAGGATGAGGTTTTGGTAGGTGTGGGTGTCAGAAGAGTGCCTTATAACGGTGGTTGTTGTTGGGTGCTGTCAAGGAGCTTCCAACTCATAGCGACCCTATGTACAACGGATAGATACACTGCTTGGTCCTGTGCCATCCTCATAATCGTTGCCAAGTTTGAGTCCATCGTTGCAGCCACTGTGCAGTTTATCTCGTTGAGGGTCTTCCTCTTTTTCGCTGACCCTCTACTAAGCATGATGTCCTTCTCCAGGGACTGATCCCTGCTGATAATATGTGAGAGGAAGTCTTGCCATTCTTGCTTCTAAGGAGCATTCTCCTGTCCTTCCGAGACAGATTTGTTGGTTCTTCTGGCAGACTATGGTATATTCAATGTTCTTTGCCAACATTATAATTCAAAGGCAACTGTTCTTCTTAGGTCTTCCTTATTCATTGTCCAGCATATGAGGTTATTGAAAACAGCATGGCTTGGGTCAAGTGCACCTTAGTCCTTAAAGTGACGTCTTTGCTTTTTAACACTTTAAAAAGGTGTTTTGCAGCAGATTTTGTCTTTTGATTTCTTGACTGCTGCTTCCATGGGTGTTGATTGTGGATTTAAATAAAATGAAATCCTCGACAACTTCAGTCTTTTCTCCATTTATCATGATGTTGCTTATTGGTCCAGTTGTGAGGATTTTTGTTTTCTTTATGTTGAGGTGTAATCC